GTTATGACACCCTTGTTACAACAAATCTGGTTTAGGATATAATATTGTAGCAAATAAACGCAACAGGACTTTAGTGCAAAGTTAGGAAGTAGGAAAAGACATAAATGCAATGCTAAGGTATACCTGTTGTATTGACAAGTAATAAGGAAAATAGATATGAAAAGGTGGAAGATGAGAAGTTTGCATGGTGTGCATACCGGAAGTAATCTGGCGAGGATCTGATTTGCCAGTGGATGGTGTTGAACAATGGGGATGTACATAGATGTCAGCAGTGTCCCGCCAGTATCGTGTTCAAAACACAGCCCAAAAAAGAATATCTAGAAATGAATGGTGGGAGTACATGGTAGTGGTAGTGGTAGAAAGAGGTTAAGAAACCAAAGAGGGATGAATAGAAGAGGAGGGGGGAGTCGGCAAAAAATGAAGTAATCAGCGGCGGTGAGATTATTATGATATGATAAGAAGATGGTATGTCAACTAGAGTCAGGAAATACACAGAAATAGAATTAGAGAAGATTTTACTGGAAGGTGTGGAAATAATATAGAAAAATAGAGAGATAGGTATGAGACCACGAGAGCGAGGTAGAAAAGTCTGGATATTAAATGAACAAGACAGAAAATCCAGCTGTGGGACGAAGCAACGGTCAATCTACATTCTCTTGGGCAATTCAAACAATTGACTAGGTGCTGATTGTCAGGATCTGTTAAAGTTATCCAAGACCTTTTAATGCTTAAAGTAGAGCTCCAAGCAAAAATTTTAAACACAGGTACTTGATTTTATGCATCACATAAACTCACCAGCCACTTTATTAGGTACACCTGTTCAATTGCTTGGTAACGCAAATTGCTAATCAGCCAATCACATGGCAGCAACTCCAAGCATTTAGGCATGTAGATGTGGGGAAGGCGACTTGCTGAAGTTCAAACCGAGCATCAGAATGGGGGAAAAAAAAGGATTTAAGTGACTTTGAATGTGGCATGGTTGTTGGTGCCAAATGGGCTGGTCATAGTATTTCAAAAACTGCTGATCTACTTGGATTTTCACACACAACCATCTCTACAGAGAATGGTCCGAAAAAGAGAAAATATCGAGTGAGCGTCAGTTGTGTGGATAAAAGTGCCTTGTACAGTAAGCTAAAAACATATCCTTAAATGTACTCTTAAGTCTCTATGGCATGTTGTACCTGATATGTGCAGTACAATATGCAGTTTATGAACATGTAGCTACCCCCTAAGGAGTCGTTGAATTTTGGGTCCCCCTTATTCCTGCACAGCCAGGCAACACACATTTTTCAAACTTTATTTCAGAGTCAGTCACCAGTCCACGGGCTTGTTTTGTTGTTTTATTTATGGGAAACAACTTGGATAGGGTTTAGTGGTATATGGGATGCCCAACGTGATTAGCAGAACACAAACTTTGAGGACAACTTCCTATTTTCTGTACAAAAAAAGAAGGATGGTTTCTGGACTCTACTCCCTCCGGACTAGCATCAGTCTCTTAATGGATCAGTTACCACGTCTCTTTAAGGAGCACTAAGTCCCCTTGGATGAATCTCTTCAGACTTCATGTGGAAACTACCCACCCACCTGGCTGCCTTGAAGAGTATCCCAGAGCAAGGGATTCCAGAACACTCCTTAGCACTGTCCCAGGGAAAACTTGCTGGGTATTGCATCTGGCTGCCCTCTCCGTTGTAGGCCCTGGGAGTGTAGATGTACTCACACTGTCACTTGTGTTCAGTAGCTGTGTATAAAACTGCTTTGATGATTTTTGCTGGGCTAGTCTTCCATCAGGCTAGCAGGTTGTCCTTATCTAATAGACTGCGGTTTAGTGGAGCTTCCTCTTTCAGCTTCATTTCTTTCAGCCTCCAGCCTAGAGGCAGAGCCCTCTTCCCTGGGGCCCCCTCCAAGGCCACACAACAGCAACTCAACAATCCATCTTCCACCCAACTCCCACTGCTGGCCAGGCTTTCTCATATTTAAGGACTGATCTAGCCACCTTGCCAGGCCTCCTGCCTGGGGATTGCCTAGATTCCCCTAAGTATGCAGATCCTGCCTCTTTACCCCTCTAGTTTCTAGAAGTTTCCATGAACCTCCAGAACCTGTCAGAAATGGACTCGCCAATGGTGGTAGGGCTCACCTGCCTTGTGGGCTGCAGTACCAGGGCTGGACAGCGGGTGCTCTCGGCAGCCAGAAGCTCACTCCTGCAATCAAGCCATCACCTGAGGCTGATTGCAGGAGGTGTATTTAAGGAATGGCCAGGCCTGCAGTCAGGGCCTTGGTGTATTGTTCCCATGAGCCCCTGTACCTGCATCCTGTCTGCTTCCTGCCTGATCCTGACTCTGCTTGATCCTGACTCTGCTTGAACTCTGCCTGCACCGACCTCGGCTACTCCTGACCAATCTTCTGCCTACTCCTTGTACCTTGTCTGCCGTTTGCTACCGACCCGGCCCATCTGACTACGTTGTGCTCCATATTTATATATATATATATATATATATATATATATATATATATATATATCAGTTAAGGTTTGGGTTTGTTGTACCTTGTTGTACGTATTTGTGTTAGTTTTGGGTTTGGTTTGTTGCACTGCATTTATGTCTGTGTTGCCTTAATAAATTGTATTGTTTTACACGCTATACCTCAAGTCTGTGTTTCCCTGTGTCGGTCCACACACCTCTGGTCATACCCGGAGCCCTGACATTACACCAAGGCCAGTCCTGACCAGAAGTGGCTGCACAGGAAAGCCATCTTGGCTTGTTGTTGGGAAGGATGCATCCTGAGGAGGTTGTGTATTTGTATCTGCTAGTCTTAGATGACAGAGATTATGCCTATCAGACTCTGAAGGAGTATGCCAGGAATCAGCTGCTAGAATGCATACGGATCGCTCATTTCGTAGTAGATCAGGGCACGGAGTTCTCTTAGGTGCAACCACTGATTTAGGCTTGTGCGGAGTTGGCTTCATCTAATACCCCTGAAAGCAGGGATGACTTTTTGCCGCCGTTTAGTGCAGACCAAGTAGAGTCACTGGTATGGTTATTGGAGGATGATCCGGATTGCTTCTTGGTGCATTATTCAGCATGTTCACAACAGGTGCTAGTGGATTGTATAAACGCAGTGCAGTCTTTGGTCAGACAGGCTTTGTGTAAGCTGAGCTTTGTTCAACCAGTACTACAGACATGGTCAGATTTGTTACTCCCAGCCTCAGTCAGCTTGCAACAACCCAGTCCTGCTTCTAATCATTCCTCTGCTCAAAGCTCTCTTCCTCCATTTCCCATAGCACCCCCAGTGACAGCCCAGTATACCCTGCTATCTACCACATGTCAGTACCCTGTTCCCACTCGCTGCACCTATCCTGCCTTTAACCCTGTAAAGAAGTCATCTGTAGAAGCTGCTCCCTCCATTTACAGACCTGCGTTTACTTACAGTGCTCCAGTAACTAAAACCAAGAAGAAGCAAAAATTCTTTCCAACCAGTACCATCCTGCCAGTATCCAAACCAGTCAGCCTGCGGTCTGAGAACCCGCCTTCTGTTCTCCAGCCTGGTGCCCCGGTGCCCGCTGTTCAGCCTGATGCCTGGATGCCTGATGACCCAGTGTATGCTACCCAGCCTGATGATCCTATCCGGCCTGATGACTCGATCCAGCCTGATGACCTGATCCAGCCTGGTCACCTGATCCAGCCTGGCGCCCCGGTGCCCGCGGTCCAGCCTGACGCCCCGGTGCCCACGGTCCAGCCTGATGCCCCAGTGCATGCGGTCCAGCCTGACGCCCCGGTGCCCGCTGCCTTGTCTGTGCTCTCTGATGACTCGGTGCCCGCTGTTGTGCCAGATGACCCGGTGCCTGCTGTTGTGCCAGATGACCCGGTGCCCGCTGTCGTGTCAGGTGACTCTGTGCCCGCTGTCGAGCTTGGTGACTCTGTGCCCGCTGTCAAGCTTGGTGACTCGGTGCCCACTGTCAAGCTTGGTGACTTGGTGCCCGCTGTCGAGCCAGATGACTCGGTGCCCGCTGTCGTGCCAGGTGACCCGGTGCCCGCTGTCGTGCCAGGTGACCCGGTGCCCGCTGTCGAGCTTGGTGACTCGGTGCCCGCTGTCGAGCTTGGTGACTCGGTGCCCACTGTCGTGCCAGATGACTCGGTGCCCGCTGTCGTGCCAGATGACCCGGTGCCCGCTGTCAAGCTTGATGCCTCAGTACCCGCTGCCTCGCCTGATGGCCCGGTGCCCGCTGCCTCTCCTGATGGCCCGGTGCCCGCTGCTCCGTTTGATGGCCCGGTGCACGCTGCCTCGCCTGATGGCCCGGTGCCCGCTGCTCCGCCCGACGTGCCTCTGCCCGCTGCCCAGCCCGACGTGCCTCTGCCCGCTGCCCAGCCCGACGTGCCTCTGCCTGCTGCCCAGCCTGTTGTGCCATTACGGACTGTTTGGAGCGTCCTGAGGCCGCTCCTTGTGGGGGGATCACCTGAGGCTGATTGCAGGAGGTGTATTTATAGAATGCATGAAGGTAAAAAATCATCATCCTTTACAACCACTACAGTATACTACAGTATACCCAGCAGACTATTTTTCACACTTCTATCAAACAGTATTGTTTTTTTGTACATGATTATGAATATACTGTTAGTACTTACTGTGTTCATTTTAGTGTTCTTCAATTGCCTATACCAGACTCATTATATTTCACTTAAAATAAAAAAAACATTTTTGAAATATAAAATAAGGATCCATATACTGATGTGTCAGCTTTGTGGATTGAGTCTAGGTTTTGATGCACATGGAATATATTAAACTGATTTCAACTGAAGATTAATTTGGGATTTGATCTCAATATCTAAGATTCAGCCATCCACTCATCAAAATCAGGATAGTTTGAGAATTATACAGTATATTTAATAATTACAATATCACATACTAGCTAGTGAAATACTATGAATGGTCTTCGTATATTTATAAAAAATCATCTATTTTATAACATAATGGAGTATAATTCTAGCCTCTTAACACATAAAACACACTGTAACAGAGTAAAAGAGGCATTGAAAAAAATATTGCATAGATATAGTATCTCACTTGCAGTTATGGGAATATTTAGGTCTTTCAGTAGTACAGATCACTGCATTGTGTTTCAAATAATAAAATGGTTAGAGCACTTACTCTCTCATGCGCTTCAACTTAGTCTTTGCCATAATGTCATTGATAGCATTTGATGTCGGGGGAATTGGTGGAGACATTTTGGTGGCAGTCTGAGTATCTGCAGATCAATGCAGAGAGAGACAATGTAATTCACTGTTCAATTTAATGGCAACATGGAACATTGGAAACAGAAAGTGTAATGTGAAATTGCCTTGTTAGAAGCCAGTTATTTAAAACAAATTGGTAACAATGTGTGATAAGCTTAGAAGGTAAAAATCAGTGGAATTCCACTAGTAAGCATGACAACATAAAAATGTTCAGTGTAAGTACAAGGGGTTTAATTACACACACACAGTACATGTAGTGTGTAGCATGCTAAGCGACTGCAAAGTAAATCGATATTGCCTAGACAGAACTAAAACTCTTAATACAGACCAGTTTTACATATACCGGTGAAACTCGAAAAATTCGAATATTGTGCAAAAGTTCATTTATTTCAGTAATGCAACATAAAAGGTGAAACTAATATATGAGATAGACTCATAACATGCAAAGCAAGATAGTTCAAGCTGTGATTTGTCAGTTGTGATGATTATGGCTTACAGCTCATGAAAACCCCAAATCCACAATCTCAGAAAATTAGAATATTACATGCAATCAATAAAACAAGGATTGTACATAGAACAATATCGGACCTCTGAAAAGTATAAGCATGCATATGTACTCAGTACTTGGTTTGGGCCCCTTTTGCAGCAATTACTGCCTCAATGCGGCGTGGCATGGAAGCTATCAGCCTGTGGCACTGCTGAGGTGTTATGGAAGACCAGGATGCTTCAATAGTGGCCTTCAGCTCTTCTGCATTGTTCAGTCTCATGTCTCTCATCTTTCTCTTGACAATGCCCCATAGATTCTCTATGGTGTTCACTTCAGGCGAGTTTGCTGGACAATCAAGCACAGTAAAACCACGGTCATTGAACCAGGTTTTGGTGCTTTTGGCAGGGTGGGCAGGTGCCAGCTCCTGCTGGAAAATGAAGACAGCATTCCCATAAAGCTCGTCTGCGGAAGGAAGCATAAAGTGCTCCAAAATCTCCTGGTAGACGGCTGCATTGACCCTGGACTTAATGAAGCACAGTGGACCAACACCAGCAGATGACATGGCTCCCCAAATCAACACAGACTGTGGAAACTTCACACTGGACTTCAAGCATCTTGCAGTGTGTGCCTCTCCATTCTTCCTCCATACTCTGGGTCCTTGGTTTCCAAATGAGATGCAAAAGTTGCTCTCATCAGAAAAGAGGACTTTGGACCACTGAGCAACAGACCAGGTCTGTTTTTCTTTAGCCCGGGTAAGACGCTTCTGATGTTGTTTGTTGTTCAGGAGCGGCTTGACAAGAGGAATACGACATTTGAAGCCCATGTCCAGGATCCGTATGTGTGTGGTGGCTCTTGATGCACAGCCTCAGTCCACTCCTTGTGAAATTCCCCAACACTTTTGAATGGCCTTTTCCTGACAATCCTCTCCAGGCTGCGGTCATCCCTGCTGCTTGTGCATCTTTTTCTTCCACACTTTTCCCTTCCACATAACTTTCTATTAATGTGCTTTGATACAGCACTTTGGGAACATCCAACTTCTTTTGCAATTACCTTTTGAGGCTTTCCCTCCTTATGGAGGGTGTCAATGATAGTTTTCTGCACAACTGTCAGGTCAGCAGTCTTTCCCATGATTGTGATTCCTACTGAACCAGACTGAGAGACCATTTAAAGGCTCAGGAACCCTTTGCAGGTGTTATGGCTTAATTAGCTGATTAGAGTGGGACACTTTGAGCCTAAAATATTGCACCTTTTCACAATATTCTAATTTTCTGAGATTGTGGATTTGGAGTTTTCATGAGCTGTAAGCCATAATCATCACAATTATGACAAATCACGGCTTGAACTATCTTCCTTTGCATGTAATGAGTCTATCTCATATATTAGTTTCACCTTTTAAGTTGCATTACTGAAATAAATGAACTTTTGCACGATATTATAATTTTTTGAGTTTCACCTGTACATAAAAATAAATAAATATGTACTCTCATGATCATATTCACAAGCAATTAAAGAAATTAGGAGGTATTTTGGTAATTTTTTATGAGATAGTAAAAATTTGGAATTTATCTTTATTGCATGTTTATTAAAAAAGGTATGAGCAATCAGCACCATGGCTAAAACAAAGTAAGAAGAACACCAGGAATCTTCTCTTACTGGATACAAAAGTAACACTTCAGGGATAAAAATAAACAGACAGGATGAATAAAGGTATTACATACAAATTCTTTCTTCTATGTTGATAGAAAAAAAAAAATACTTGAGATGCCCTTGTATTGCAATAGAATAAAAAATGTAATGCTTACATACTAATATGGGTTGTGTATATCACCCCAAAGAAAAACAGCTGCTGTCAGGTATAAAATACAACACCTAGATATACCTGCAGCAGCCTTTTGTCAGTACAAGTGAATCCTGAAAAGCTCCAACATTTCATGATAGTGTCAAAGCCTGCCCACCCCATCTTGCCCCATGCTCATAGTGATGGGCCAATAGGAATGTTTCGAAAGCAGGAATACACGGCCAAGTTATGACAGTGGAGCTGCTGTATTGCTCCTCTGCAAATCAGCACATGTTCAGTGCACTCTCCCACCCTTGGTACTGCTGTGAAAGGAGGAGGATAAGCACCCTGCACATGTGCTAATTTGTGAACAGGGGAGAGTGCACGGTGCAAATGCAGGTTTGTGGACAAGCAACATAGTTGCTCTACGCTTTTTCCTTTGATGGTAGAGGTGCACTCAGTGCACTACCTGCCCTAACTTATACAGTAAAGGAAATAAGTATTTGATCCACTGCTGATTTTGAATGTTTGCCCACTCACAAAGAAATGCATGTCTAACAAATTATGCACTGATTTGCTTGTTCATGATGGAAATAAGTATTTGATCCCCTATCATTCAGCAGGATTTTTGGCTACCAGGTGTCTTTCATACAAGTAACAAGCTGAGATTAGAAGCAGTCTCTTAAAGGGAGTGCTGCTAATCTCATTTTGTTACCTGTATAAAAGACACAAGTCCACAGAAGCAATCAAACAATCAGATTCCAAACTCTCCACCATGGCAAAGACCAAAAAGCTGTCCAAGGATGTCAGGGACAAGATTGTAGACCTACACAAGGCTGGACTGGGCTACCAAACTATCGCCAAGCAGCTTGGTGGGAAGGTAACAACAGTTGCTGCAATCATTCGCAAATGGACGAAACACAAAACAACTGTCAGTCTCCCTAGGTCTGATGCACCATGCAAGATCTCACCTCATGGAGTGCCAATGATCATAAGAACAGTGAGGAATCATCCCAGAACTACATGTGAGGATCTCGTCAATGATCTCCAGGCAGCTGGGACCACAGTCACCAAAGAAAACATTTGGTAACACACTACGCTGACAAGGATTGAAATCCTGCAGTGCCACAAGGTTCCTCTGCTCAAGAAAGCACATGTCCAGGCCCGTCTCAAGTTTGCCACGGAACATCTGAATGATGCAGAGGAGGACTGGTTGAAAGTGTTGTGGTCAGATGAAACCAAAATCGAGCTCTTTGGCATCAACTCAACTCGCCATGTTTGGAGGAGGAGGAATGCTGCCTATGACCCCAAGAACACCATCCCAACTGTCAAACATGGTGGTGGAAACATTCTGCTTTGGGGGTGTTTTTCTGCTAAGGGGACAGGACAACTGCACCGCATCAAAAGGACAATGGACGAGGCAATGTACCATCAAATCTTGGGTGAGAACCTTCTTCCTTCAGCCAGGGCATTGAAAATAGGTCGTGGATGGGTGTTCCAGCATGACAGTGACCCAAAACACACGGCCAGGGCAAAAAAACAAGTGGCTCAAGAAGAAGCACATTAAGGTCCTGGCCAGTCTCCAGATCTTGATCCGATTGAAAATCTGTGGAGGGAGCTGAAAGTTTGAGTTGCCAAATGTCAGCCACCAAACCTTAATGACTTGGAGAGGATCTGCCAAGAGAAGTGGGCCAAAATCCCTCCTGAGATGTGTGCAAACCTGGTGGCCAACTACAGGAAATGTCTGACCTCTGTGATTGCCAACAAGGGATTTGCCACCAAGTACTAAGTCATGTTTTGTGAAGGGGATCAAACACTTATTACCCTCATGAGCATGCAAATCAGTGCATAATTTGTTAGACATGCATTTCATTTGAATTTTTTGTTGCTATTCTGTCTCTCAATGTTACAATACACCTACCATTCGATTTTTAGACTGATCATTTCTTTGTGAGTGGGCAAAAACTCAAAATCAGCAAGGGATCAAATACTTATTTCCTTCACTGTATGCAGTGCCGTTCTCTGAGAATGCTACTTTTTCTAGCCAGGCTTTGTGGAAGCCACAATTAGCCTACAGGTTTCTAATTTCTCTACACCGCACAATGACTTTTAAATTACTGAGGCCCCTTGACTGGTTTTTAAATTTTATTATAAAGGTGTAATGACCCTTTAAGGGTACAAAGAATAAGAGAAAAATCTCAAGATGGGACTTTTAAATAGCCACCTATGACCACAGATATATTAGGACTTTAGAAGATTACTCCAAAATGCCTGTTTTAAAGGTATGGTTCAAAATTTCCATGATTAGTTTATAAGTATTCCATTATAGATTCAGTCTCATTTTCCATTTAATGCCTTCAGCACTTACCTTGGACTTTCCCTAGTAATTCCCTCCTTAACTAGATTTCTATTACATCATTAGGTGTGCAGCTGAAGAAAAATGTGTCTTCTGAAATAAATGTCTTTCTGAAATTTCTTTTTGTTTTTCTGATTTAAAGTTGAACTCCGGGTATGGAAAAAAATAATAATTTACTATACTAATAGCCCAACATTTAATTATTTTTAAGCCCAGGAACCTTTATTTACTTACCTTCTATGCTGCCACCTTTATTTACTTACCTACTATGCTGAGCACCAATAGCTCCCCTTAAAGCAACACTAAACTCTCCCCACCCCAGCCTATGTTTTTTTCCCTTTTGCCTGTAGTGCTGTGTTCTCTTCCATACACATACTCACCACCCCCAAAGCGATTATATCGTGGTCCAACTGCAATCCACTGCTTGGGTACCATACAGAGTATCACACGCTGCTATCTTGGTCGTCTTTAGCTGGCTGCATCTTACGGAAAAAAATCTCATTTAACCACTTTCAGACCGGACACTTTTACCCCCTTCCTGACCAGGGCAATTTTCAGCTTTCAGCGCTATCACACTTTGAATGACAATTGCGCGGTCATGCAACACTGTACCCAAATTAATTTTTTACCATTTTTTTGACACAGATAAAGCTTTATTTTGGTGGTATTTATTCACCGCTGGGATTTTTATTTTTTTTGCTATGTAAATGAAAAAGTACAAAACGTTTTTTTTATAAAATTTTGCAAATAAATAATATTTCATCATAAATCTTTACCAAAACTTATTCCGTTATCTTTTTAGTAAAAAAAAAAAATCCAAATTAGTTTATAACCAAAAATTATAATTTTTAAACTTTTTTTTTACATTTTTATTTTATTTTTTTATATTATTATTTTTTTTTATTTTTTTTTTTTTTTTTTACATACTGTCACCCTAGCAGTACAGTGTCACCATGGTGACACTGTACTACTTGTGGGGGGTGATGATTTTTTTTTTTTTTTTTTTTTTTTACACTGATTGCTTTTACACCCATATAGGATGTAAAAGCAATCATTTCTCTTTCTCTCTGTCTGCATTCTTGCACTCATTGAGAAGTACTGAGTGAGCTGTGATTGGTCACAGCTTGACACATGGTACAAGGCTGTTGTGAATAGGCTTGTACCATGTGACCTCTGTGATCATTCACAGATTTCACACGTAGTAAGCAATGATGTCACAAGTGACATCTTGCTTATTACTTTGCATGTGATCACTGATTGGCCCAGCAGTGATCACATGATCGGGACCTCGTACAGAGGTCCCGTCCGACGATCCGTGTTTCACTGTGTCCGGAGGACACAGCGGGCACCGGATCGCGGTGCTGCGCGCTCCCAGGGAGCGCGCACAAGCAGGGTGCAGGGAAGCCGTTTATAAACGGCCACCCGACCCTGCACTGCCACCCTCCGGCCGTTTATATGCAACGGCCGGTCAGAAAGTGGTTAAACAATATTAACTATGATAATTACAGTATTGGTAAATGTATAGTCAGCTATGTGTTTCGATATGTTGACACAAAATATGTTTTCCATCAGACTTATGGAGCAACTTACCTGTACAGCTGGAAGCCAGCACACTTTCCAATTTCAATATCATAGCATTGATATCGGTGTCCTGTTGATTACAAGAAAACAGCCACACTGATTAATCATTAGCAATGCATTACAGTACGAAGATAATACTTATTCTGGCAAGATCAATAGGTATGTTTTTCATTTATCAAACAAATCTAACAAGATACTTTCAATGGTATATTTAACAGACCAAAATGGATTACATTTCTTTGTTAGGATTTACATACTCTTTACAGGAGAAGTACAGCAAAAGCTTTGGCTGTACATCTCCTGTATGTCACAGGAGTGCAGTTCATTCTGCACTCCTGTGATCTGTTTTCACCTGACAGAGGGCTAAAGTTCTCTGTCAGCTGACGTCACTCAGCAAGTCCAGGCTGTGAAAAGATCCTGACCATATGGTCAAGATCCACCCAGAAGCCTGAACTGGTACTTGGCTCAGCCTTTCACCTGCACCGCTGGGAGGCTGAGCCAGCTACTCCCTCCCCTTCCCACCCTAACCATGCAATGAGAGCTGGAGGGGCAGAGCAGAGAGCCAGTGATTGACAGTCAAGGCTCTGCTCAGAGTGGAGGGGGAGAACTGAACAATCAGCAGTGTTTAATCGCTCAGTTCTCATTGCAGAGCCAGCGGGGGAAAGATTCAGCATCGGATCAATGCTGCATCCACCTAGGTGATTTTTTTTTTAAGTCCATACTTCTCTTAAGAAGACAAATGTCCTTTTCATAGAGAATTTGTATGCTATGAAATAGAAAATACACTAGATAATTTCTACTTTCATTGTCCCCTCTGAGAGGATAGACTCTGCATGTTTCAACACCATTGAGATTTGTTTCACACACATCTGTACCCCATTTTTTTCTCCCTGTCACATTCCTACAGAGTCCCATGTTTCCCAGACAGAAAGCATGAATATTTTCTTTGGTCTGTTTCTTTTACAAGATCTGACACTTAGAGGCTGAGTTACTAAAGACAAACAGGCTGTTCAATTTGCAGGGAAAGCTGCACATTGCAAAGGAATATGTCTCAGCGTTTAGTGAATTTGGTGAAGTTTCACTTTGAAAAGAATATCCTATCGCATGAAAGGGAAAGGCTTGCACATGACTGGATGGTGGACATCAGCAGAGCCTCACCTCATTCACTAAGCTCTAGGACAAACTCCCTTGCAGAATGCAACTTCCCTTGCAAAGTGAACATTCTATTTGCCTTTAGTAGATCAACCCCTAAGTTTCTGCTTCCATTTCATAATCCTCCATGCTGATCCACCAGCATTAGAATAACTGGTTTTGGGCTTATGTCCATGGGCAAATGCCCTTTGAATCCAGGTGCATTCTGCTTGCATTTTTGATAAGTTTGAGACACTTCTGAGATCATTAATAGTTCATTGATAGGTGCATGTTTGCTACAGATGGCATCCCTCTGACTTCTAAGAATCATTGAACCACTAAACTGAAGCAGTTTCCGATATCTGCTCATCAATTTAGGCACTTACCCTAACTGGAAGGTACTTCTTGATCTTAGAGACCACTGTCTAAGTACAAGTTGCTCAGAGTGCTTTCCTGCCCCCTGCAGTCTCATATCTAAATAACCTGAAAGGAGATGGAGGTGGTGGTGGGGAGATCCTTCTATAGTTAATGGCAATTCCCTATGTAGCACCTTCCTAGATAGGTGCTAGGATTTGTAAAGTTAGGTTAAGTAAAACTGTACACATAAACATATAAACATAGGGGTCTAGTGCTGTTTATGTGTACTTCACACATTCTAGCTAGAGTGTGATAGGTATCAGCAGCAGTCCTCACCGTTGCACAGTACCAATCTATACAATAAATATAACTGTATTTCTCTGCTTAACAGAGAGACTGTTAGGAAAATCTAGTTGGGCTCTCTGCTTAACAGAATGCTGTCATGGATTAGTCAGCTCTGCTCATGATGCTCTGGTGCTGCTGAATTTGCCTTAAATTCTGCCCGTCTTCAGGAAGCTATGAGATCTTTCCAGAACCTGGGAGGGAACTAGGCAAATGAACAACATGAAAATGGATACAGTCCTGGCCAATTGCAGGGGAGGGAAGTCCCATTGCATGCTGGGAGTGGTATTTATGTTCTGTGAGCACATAGGTTCAGTGTCTTTCCCGGGAGAGGATTGAACCAAGCCAGCCTTGAGGCAGGCTTGCCTCACCTTGCACTGGCTGCCATGCGGACTCAGGTAGCTTGACCTGAGGGCCTGAATTCAGAGAAAGTGACCCTGGTTCTACAGTAAGCTGACTGAGGGGAGCTGTCTGCCAAAGCTTTGTCTGGTAACACTGTTACAAGGTTTCGCTTGGAAGATTGGAAGGAGGCAACCATTTTATCCTTGGGCTTTGTGAGTACAGACATTGGGGAATCTGGGGACTCTGTGTGCTTGCTACACCCCTGGTGTTTGATAGTCAGCGTGGGTCTGAAAAGGAAAGGGAACACTGGCTAGCGTTCTGAAGAGCTTGTCCAATTGTTGCTACTGCAAAGGACTTTGCTCACCTATGTTACCTTTGGGCTGATACTGGCTTGTACCTGAGGAGATCAGCCCTATAACTACTAAAACTGAAAAAGGGACTTTGCTCACCCCTAAACTACTTGTTGCTACAAACTAAAGAGAAGTCCACTATCTGTTTTTAGCCAGGACTTCAATAGTGCTCAACTAAGAGATCAGTTAGATGTCCTCAGTGTAAATAGTTCTAATTTTGGACTATCCTACTGAATTCCCTATCCTTATCCCCAGTTCTACAATACAACTCCAAAAAACAAACATCCCCTAGACTGACCATTAAAGACAATGAGCAAAAGAGTGTGTATACCTGGCTGTGGAAAATACCTTGTACCTGGCTGTGAGACAAAGAAGGGGAAACCTGGACAAAAAAAAAACCCTTACGAGGGTTGTGCTACACCTACAATGCCTAAGCATACATTTCTCCATTTTTCATATGTACTACTTTACAAAATCATAATGATGCACATTATCCCAAAGCATACAGCTATGACATGGATGAAACAGTTCAGGTTATTGTTCCAAAATCATATTTTACTAATAGAATTACATAAAGGAGAGAATTGTTGGGCTAAAATGTTAAAAGTAAGTAACTTAGCAATCATCTTTCATTGGTACTACAGATTACTATTCTTTCCATGCCATCACTACACTTTGCACTACCTTATTAAAGAGTATTTCCAGCATATATTGAATTTCCCTTTCCATATGGTGAAGTTCCCCCTTGGCCTTTCTCCTCTTCTTGGACACATAGCTGCATTTACAGATGTTACTTGTAGCATTATTTGTTTGCATTATAACTATTGGTCAAAATCGACTTTTCTAAACAGCAATGGAAAGGTATCTGTGGAAGGTGCAGACCTCTTGACATTAGTATACGGCAGGGAAATTACATGGCTGAAGAAAACATCATTATCCAAAATAACACATGTGCATTGAGCCTCTTAACTTATAGGGCTTGCAGACAGGAAACCTTATTGAGATTGACCAACTGTATTTTTTCCAAATACATAAATATATAAATACTGTATACAAATAGCATAACAACAATGAAACGTTAACAAAGTTAAATAAAACAGCAAATGGCTATTCATGCATTATTTAGTGAAATGTGCTGTATGGAGGACTCTCTCTAACTCACTCAAGCACCAAACTGACAGCTTATCAATATCCTGCTGTGATGTTACAGACAATGCATCACTTAACAGACATGTACGAGATAATCAACACAAGGAACTAAGGAAGCACATAGGAAGGAATGGTTAGTACTAGATCATTTCCTAATGTTTCATTATGCTTGGTCTGGTCAAATAGTAAAGCTTTTACCATTGCATTAGTTTTCTGCATCTGAAAATAAGTAATGACTATAAAGTAATACTTTTATCAACTGATACTATATGCTGGTGCAGATCTGCTTAATTTGGGGGATACGTTCTCTGTATTTCCACTGCTTTGTTTGATTTTGTTTTAATGTTTTGATGTTGCTAAATGTCACACAGAAAGCATATCATAAGTATGACTCATGCATGGCATACTAAATGTACCTGAAAGCTCATTGAATTGGCCATCGACACAAGCCCACGGTCTTTTACTACAGCGCATGCACAGTATTGTCAGTATGTCAGTAAATATGTCAGCAATAGTCAATGCATACATGGTGGCAATCATGAAAAGTTGCTCGCTACCACGCACACATTAATTATTACTGATATACTGCTGATGTTCTAGCAACATGAAAGGCCACTAACCCACGTATGTGTTGTAGCGATGTGAAAGGCCACTTACTGCCATATTGCCAATTTCTCTTAAAACCGCGCATGCATGTAAATGTGTCAGCCACAGCGCAACCACCAAGCCATGTCACCAGCTCCCTTTGCTCATGCGCATGCACCTCAATCTTGACTTTGTTTCTGTTCTGTGAAATGTGGGTCTTCCCATTGACATATTGCTGTCTCTTTTCCTGAAGGTCACCCTACATTGTATTGCCTGTGCCATAGCTCACCTGCATTGCCATTAGCATAGGACCTGATGGCCAACATGTAGAAGTCTAGAGGTATAATTTAAGCCTTATTTATTTCAATTTCAAAGCCACATTTCCCATTCACATGCAATCCAAATATTTAGCTTTACCCATCTCGGCTAATTAACAATCTCTATTATTATTTTGAACATCTCTATTTTAACATGAGGGACACTAAAATACCATTTTACTATAACTAATGAATGACAGACAACCTCTCTGCGTATGTATATTATATAGGGCGCACTTGTTAGAGCCCAACCTCTGTATCTGTAGGATAAAGGTGCCAGATGGATATCAGGGATGGATGGATGGATGGGAGCAGTAACACCGAGGCAGCTCTTCTTAGAGTGGAAGCAAGGCTCTAATGCAGCAACATGAAAAAGAGAGAGGAAAGTGCCTCTAAGTGCAGTATTGACAATCTAAAATAATTGTCCTAGAGCACACAAATGAGATCGTTGGACTTTTAGCAGTAATTTTATGATTAAAATGACTCAAGCAGAGCAGTAGCAAAGGTGGCATAGTGTGTGAATAAATTATTGTATTTTTTAGTTCTCTAGATTATAAAACAATGTTTCTGTTTTACATTCTATTTCTTTGTTTCTATTTAGCTCCTCCTGGCTATTCAGAAGTATAGGGGTTGACCAGCCTGGGTTATTCAGACTATTTTCTCCAATGTATCAATCATACGCAGAGAGGTTGAAAAAGAGAGAGGAAGGCACCTCTAAGTGCAGTGTTGACAATTTATTAGTAAACAATAGATAAATTGCACTTACAGAATACATAGTTAAAAAGACGCATGTGTGGTGTAATAAGATCCAGGTGGGACATCCAGCCGTCCAGCAGCAAACTCTATCTATAGGATCAGGAAGTAGAGCCCAGGATGTGCCTGTGCAATAAAATGAGGCTTGGAGAGCAGAGTTGGATATAGGAGATGAAGGGGGCAGTAACGCGTTTCAGAGCATGCTCAGTAGGCTCCTTCTTCAGACCTCTGAGGAGTTTGCTGCTCTAGGACAATTATTTTAGAGGTATTTTTATCTTGTCCATTTTCCAATGTTACAAAACCTTGGTGTTTAAGAAAAAAAATGAAAGTTTCATAGGTCTGAAACTCACTTTAAGCAGTAAAGTAGTTAGGTTTAACTAAAACAAAAGCATTTTGCCTGGTCATGGAGATTCCAACTTCCTACAGATGCGAAGGGGATAATGCAAATGTATAGTTTTTGTTTTAATTAAGTAAACATGAAACACTGCATATTATTATTCCATATTTACATTTTGCAGCCTATAAGTGGAGCTCTTAGCAACCCTTATTTTCCCCAGGGAAACCTAAGAAAATAAGAATTGCCATTGCTTCTGAATACAGTATGTTAGTTGGCTTAATTACACTCTGATTTACCCCTGAACAAGCACACAGCATGTGAAGTCTATGTAAGGTCAGAACAGGTAATCTTTAGATATGCTCATTTGGGTCATGAAGTTAGGGGAATTTCTCCATGAAGACACAGCAAATTAAGGTAGACTGCAGATGGCTTTTTTTCTTTCTCCAGCTGATCCTGTAAGTAAACATGTTCCCACTGACCACCAGCAAAAGGAGGGCACATAGAGCAGAAAGGTGGAGTACAAAGACCACCACTGAGCAGTAAGTTGGGGCACACATGACATATGGACTATCAAGAGTTCACACTGACCACCAATGTTATGGGGGGGGAAACACCACTGACCACCAATGTTATGGGGGGGAAACACCACTGACCACCAATGCCATGGGGCATTCAGCAACGGTCAACATTATTTAATGGGGGACACACTATTGACTACAACATTTAAAGTTGCACTTACCACCGACCAGCACCATAAGAGGTCTCGGATGACGTCATGATACTCTATTGGCTTAATGAATGTGGCTATCTAATCAGCAGTAGCGGCAGTATTGCACAGGACCGCTGATCTCTCTCAGTTGACATGCTGTTTACATTTGGTGTGATTGGGCAACTGATACAAATGAGTGCAAACTTTATATGTATAGAATGCAAATAAAGGTTTTTAAAGGATAAAGCACTCTGTCAAGTCTGTTTGCATGAGGTGGAGTGGTAGATGGAAGGAGATTAATTAAAGCTGTGGAGTTTGTTCCGAGCCCGCATAGGAAATCCATATGGCCCATTGAGGGACAAAAGGCGTTTATTGACCGAACATTAAATTGTGCGGTCATACACTAGAGGTGTGCAGACATCTGGTGGTGGTGGTTTTTCAGCGCGAAGTTGGATTAAGCACTAAAGGTGTCATAGTATTAGTTTTTCATCCAATGAAGATAAAGGACTCTTCCAAGAATATTTTCAGATATTTTTATCATTTTATATATGATATATTTTTTAGCTGTGGGAGTATGTGTCTTTGTTAATGGCACTGGTATTGATGTTTTAATATATACACTAAGTGCTGCACTAATTGATTATTTGAAAAGTAAAACAGATGTATACTCACAAACACAAAGATTCACAAGCATATCATTGTCTTGGGTGACCTAAGGCACTGGGCAAGTCCCAAACACAAGAAGACACTTGGAAATGGCTGATGCATTTCAAGGGGGGAATCCCCTCTTCTTGGCTTTGAAGAAGCCAAGCCAAGAATGGGTACAGTGTATACTATATATCGCAAAAAAATGACATAAACGTCATTTGAATACAGTGTTGTATGTCTGATTCATTGTCAGTCAAACTGAAAAATGGCCTGGTAATGAAGGGGTATATACAGGTTAGAACTCAAGTGGTTATGGAATGCATTGCTGCATTAATTTATGTCTTTTATGCTCACCTGGTGTTCAGCTTTAAGTCTAAAATAGCTCTTGCTATCAATCAATATGAGACTTGCCTCTATTATATATCAACTTGGCAAAGATAGGGGATACAGACTAGGAATGACTGCATTTTTCTGATCAAACAGTTACCATATAGCCATTTCTGCTGCTACCAAGCTTTATGTAGACATATGTCTAAGGTGTCTATGTATGCCTGGCCAAATCTGACCTAACCACCTGGTGCTCTGAGCAACTTGTGAACTGTAGATGTCACATTGCTGTCACACCTGTTGATATGTTGTTTGTGTTATCTGTGTCTTTTGTGCATCATCTTCATCCTCAGTGGATTCTATATCACTTTCTTCAGAACATGATTCAAAGCCGTCTTCATAATATTGGTCTGCTATGAGTGGGTCTTCTGGAATATCTTTAAAATATAAAAAAATGCATATACTGATTAACAAAATCTATTCCAACAAAATATAACAAAAGCATACACAGTTTAATTTGTTTATTAGATGTAAAGGAATAAGATGCTGAAAAAAAAAGTTAATAAAACTGAAGATATAAGATGTCAGTTGCTGGATATCAGATACGTTTCGTTCACTGAATTAAGTTGACTTTTGATATTTCATAGCCATATGGAATCGATGGATTCCAAATTTTATATACACTAAGAATAAAAAGGTCATGCAAATAATGCATGTGGTACGTCATATGAACCAAAATGTTGGCCTTAGGGTACAGCTGTCAAGCTAACCTAAGATGCTAGTTTGCCTGATCCAGCCATTTTTGAAAATAGTGGTATCAGCGTGTCACCTTCATGGCTATGCAGTATGGCAAATTATGTAAATCACAATAGGTGAATGCTAGAGGGCAACATAAGTGCAAACACTATGCATCAGTTATTGACTGATAGGAATCCGGCCGCTTCACAGCAATTTAGGGGAGAAGATGTCAGCAAATTTTAAGGAACAAATGGATATGATTCAAACCATCAGAAGAATAGTCAGAATGTAACAAGGCATAGGGGCTATAGTGAATCCTCTCTTAACAAAAAGAAGTGTCCCTCAAACAGGGGGCCCAGTTTTGCAGATTCACATGTACACAGCCCAATGTATAACGGCCAAACAAAGAAGTGTAAGAGTCCAAAATCCTTTAATAACAGTTTTGATTCACAAATGACAAAACAGAGCAGCCATCCCATTTTAGGGGTCAGAGAACTCCCACTTTTTCTTCTTATTTCGGTGGAATATCAAAATATGGCTACTAGATGGAGTTTCAGATCACTGAAATAAATAGAATCCTCAGCTTCATCAAGTGGCCATAATAAAGTATTTTACCAAACCATTTTTATTAATAAATAACATTCAACCTGTAGAGAAAATAGGAGAACATTCTATTTTGCTCCTTTCACAAAGAACAAGTGTATGAGCAGTTTTGCTTGGTGAATAGCCATGTGATTTTTTTTTTTATAAATGCACCCCTTAGGGCTCGTTCACACTTGGCTGTTTTTACCAATGCTTGCCAAACGCCCCTATAGCATTTGGCAAGCATTGGTCCGGTGTTGCGGAGCGTTTTTTTAACGCTCCGCAAACGCCGCATGCGCAGTTTACTGGCGGTTTCTAGGCATTTGCCGAGCGTTAATAACGCCCCACAAACGCCTATAATGCAGTTTGAGTGGTGTTACCGCTCCGCAAACGCCCCGCAACCGCACCGCAAATGCCGGCCGGGCGTTTGCGGAGCGGCACCATAGACGAGAATAGGAGGCTTCAAAGCCTCCTGACTCGACCAGAGGCTTCCGTTTTGCCGCGACGCAACGCGACGCAAACGCTCCCGTTAGAACAGCACCATGTGCTGTAATGTGCAGAATTGGCAGAGGCGTTTGGGAAGAGGTAAAAACGCTTCCCAAACGCCTCTTTGCCACCTGCACACAACACTAGTGTGAACGTAGCCTTAGTGTTGAAACCTTTATTAAGAGAACTTTTCAAGTTGCCAATGCTGACTTCTTGCTGAAAATGCTACTTGCCTGGCTTTTCCTGGCTTCAGTGCTTTTTGAATTACTGAACCTCAACAAGTATGCTCCTTGCTAGATCAGAACGTCTGATGTGCACACTTGTTTCAGAGCTTTTCCATTAGGTCCTATAGAGAAAAGACATACATATACAGTACTACTCATCCCCACTAGCTATGAAAAAGACCTGAGTGCATTCGGGCATAGACTGCAACTCCTGGACTGGCTTGCGTGCTGATCTAAGATAAGTACATTAACATGTGGATGGAGATCAGTTAAAATGAAGTTATTTAAAAGTCTAGTTACCCTTTAAGCAATAAAACTGATGTTGTCAGGGCAGGGGCTGTGGAACGGACAGGCAGGCCTAGTGGCAGGGTAACGCACTGACTGACGACAACCACCACCCACAGACCGAAGTCCCTCAGGGCGCGGAGTCTAAGTCCCAGGCTACCCTTCACCAGAGCCCCTGATGGTGGGGAATGGACTTGACGCAGCCAGGAACCAGGTCGCGGCCCCCGAGACACCCCGGCTGCGGCAATGGCTGCCGCCAATGGCATGTAGCTGGTAGGAATGACAATAGTGTAGTAGTCAGGCAGGCCGGGTCGACAACAATGGGACAAAACGGTACAGAAACAGTGGACAAGAATCACAGGTCACGGGCCGGGTTCAGCAACGGAAGGTCAGATCAAAGGAAAACACAGAGAATGTTCTAGTCACAAGCCGAGTCAGATTCCAGGAGAGTCACAAGAGTATACACAGAGCTGTAGCGACACAAGACACAAGTGCAAAGGGCATGTGCGGATCACAGCCTTATATGTAATTAGCTACACCCCTCTGGGGGATGGACCTCAGAGGCCTGAAGGCATTAAAGACTCCCACAATGCTCTGCAGAAACCCAAGATGGATGCCAGCACATGAAGCAGCACAATCTCTGGGAAAAGGTAGGACCTTGACATCTGTGCTGTGTTAAATCTCCTGACAATAAGTTTATCCATCTGTCGGTGCTGCAATCTTCTGCAATGTACATTGTCACTGCAGTAGGCTGCAACAGAGCAACTTTACTGCACTGTACCCCAAAAGTGGACAGTACTAGCATCATTATGCTTGTCTTCCTATATCTTTTTTTTCCAGCAAAACAAACATCATTAGTAATTAGAGGGGTTTTTTTTAATGACTAAACCATGGTTAGGAAAGAGTCATAAATGTGAATATTATATATTAATTTTCAAAATCACAAAACTTAGGTTTTACACAACAATGACGTTTAAACCTGTATTAATACAGTAAGTATAGAAAAGAATCACCCCCTTTAAAATAATCACATTTTGTTGCTTTGCAGCCTGAAATGAAGACAGACACAGTTTTTGTTTTATTCGGCTGTATTTACTCAGTGCAACTTGTAACATCCAAGTGAAAGATATAACACCAACATGTCAGAAAAAAAAAAGTAAAATACAAAAACTGAATCACTGAGTTGGAAAAAGGATCACCCCTTGTGTCAGTATTTTGTTGAACCACCTTTTGCTTTAGTTTCAGCCTTTAGTCTTTTGGGATATGTCTCTACTAGCTCTGCACATCTAGTCTTTGCAATATTTGCCCACTCTTCTTTGCAGAACTGCTCAAGTTCAGTTAAATTTGATAGTGACCATTCATGGACTGCAGTCAAGTCATCCCACTGATTTTAAATGGGGTTTAAGTCTGGGCTATGACTAGGCCATACAAGGACATTCACCTTTTTCTCCTTCAACTACTGTGTGGTAATTTTTGCTGTGTGCTTTCGGTCATTGCCATGTTGGAAAGTAAATCTTCTTCCCATTGACAACTTTCTGGCAGAGGACAAAAGATTTTCCTTAAGAATTTAATGGTATTTAGCCCCATCCATTGTTCCGTTCTATCCAGACAAGTGCTCCAGTCCCTGTTGCAGAGAAACACCCCCATAACTGGATATTACCTTCTCCATGCATTACTGTAGGAATGGTGTTATTTGAATGATAAGTTGTATTGGATTTCCACCATACATATCGTTTAGTGTCAATTTTATTCTCATCTGACCGTAACACCTTTTTCCATGTGGCTTCAGAATCTTCAAGGTGTGTTTTGGCAAAGCTCTGTTGTGACTGCATGTGGCCTTTTTTCTTGCAACCCTCCCATACAAGCCACATTTGTGGATAATTTGTGATATTGTTATCATATGTAAACAATGACCACTCAAAATTTCCTGAAAATACTTCAGAGTTGCTGTAGGCCTCTTGGAAGCCTCTCTGACCAGTTTCCTCATGGCTCTTTCATCCAGTGTGAAGTGATGTCCTGATCCAGGGAGGGTCTGTGTTGTGCCAAATGCCTTCACCTTCTTAATAACAGACTTCATTGTGCTTCTAGGCATTGAAAAAGCATTTTAAATTTTTTGTACCCATCTGATGACTTGTGCCTGTCCACAACTTTATCCCAGAGATCTTTTGACCAACTACCATTTTAGGATGGACAAAAATGGCCACATATATGTACCTGTCAATATAGGTGTCCTTTGATATGCTGAGGCTGTAGAAAAAAGTGTTTCCATGATCATCCTTGCAGAAGACAAATTACTGTTGACTAAGTCCTTTGACAAAAGAAAAAAAAAAGATTTTTTATATATATATATATATATATATATATATATATATATATATGTATATATCTCTATGTATATATATAAAAAATCAGGGAGGCATGTGATTGGCCCCAAATGTATTCTGCAGCAGATCAACAACCCCAAACATAAAGCCAATATAATTAAGTAGTATCTTCCACGTGAAGAAGAAAAAGGAGTCCTAAAAGTGATGGATTGGCTCCCACAGAGCCCTGATCTCAATATCATTAAGTCTGTCTAGGATTACATGAAGAGACAAAAGAATTTTGAATTCCTTCAAAAACTGTGTGCAAGTGTACCTAGTAGATTCCAAGAACTGATGCTGTTTTGAAGGCAGAGAATGGTCACACCAAATAGATTTGATTTAGATTTCTCTTCTGTTCAATTACTTCTATTTCTGAAGGCTTTCCTAAAGTGATATTAAAGGCTTAATTTTTTTTAAATAACAAACACATCATACTTACCTGCTCTCTGCAGTGGTTTTGCACAGAGCAACCCAGATCCTCCTCTTTTCAGGTACCCCTCCTGTCGGGTGCCCCCACAGCAAGCAGCTTGCTAGGGGGGCACCCACTGCTCTATGTCTCCATTCGGCTTGGCCCTGCCCCCTCTCTCTTCTCATTGGCTCACTGACTGTGATTGACATTGGCTCCCACTGTTGACTCAACCAATGAGGAGAGGGAGTCCTGGAATTACTGTGACTC